TGCACAGGCAGCGGGTTGCCAAGGAGAAAGCTGTGGGTGCAAACAGTTGATGTTTTTGCTCCATTTCCATTGTTAGCAAATGGCAAAGCCGCGCGGTGGGGGCGTTGCTGACTTGTACTGGTTTAGTTGCACAAGAGGTTATGAACCCCGGGGAAAGCTGCTTTCCCTGCCCGGGTGCCTTCCCCCGGGCGCTCCCAGGCATGGCGCGTCCCTCTCCCACCTTGCCCGCAGCAAAGCTGCCCCACACGGCTGCTCCTGCCCTGCGGCAGAGGCTGGACGAGCCTGCTACGACCCGTAGCATTTGCAAAACCCGTGCTCCCTTCCCTGGCTCGTGTGAAATAAGCTGCTTTGCGCCGCTTATGTGTGCCATGCCCACCTGTGGTCTGGCTGCCCACTCGCTGCAACGTATCTCTCTCTTCCCTTTTTTCTCCCCTTCTGTCTGGTTTTTGGCTGAGGAAAATTACCCACCCCAGCAGTTAGAAGAAATGTGGAGAATGAAGTAAAGGGAGCAAAAATATCCCAGGGAGGGTTTTTCAAAGCTGATCTTCCCCTGGGTCCAATGTCTGTCAGACGTGCTTGCAGCACACAGCTGCATCATGTTGTCAGAAAGAGGGATTTAAAATCTAACCCATATACGCAACTCTTGCTCGCTTGGATTGAGAGTCCGCTGGCAGGGCAGGAGAGTAAATCCCAGTTGAGGAGGGTGGCTCTGTCGGCCATGCAGGCAGTCTGTCTTGCAGCAGGAAGCTGTGTAAGCTCTGTCATCCATGGTGGTGGTGATTTTTGCAAAACCCGAGTATAGTTCACCCAGATATTTGTATTCAGCACAACCTCATCAAGCAGGGAGATGCCAGCTGAGCAAAAGCATGGAAGATCCTAGTGCTCTGTTCTGGTTGTGCATGGAATAGGAAGGCTGCTGAGCCTCTAACAGAGATAACTTGGGGGAAGAGCTGGAGATAGGCTTTGAGGAAGGAGAAAACCAGGACATTACAATAATACATTATGGTTCTTTAGTGGTTGTGGTCGTTTTAGGAAGCCATAACTTTTAAATGGTTACTAAAAACACAATGTTGTTTAGGTTACTAAAAACACAATATTGTTTAGGCTTTATGCCTCTGATAGTTATAATAAAATTTATCAGAGAAACATATTTGTCAAAACTAATGAGACTCTTTACATTTAAAATACACTGACATTGTGTTATGCTTTCCTTCACAAGTAACATCTAAAATAAGAGTTGTAGTTGAAAGAGATTTGTGAGGAAAAATTACACAGATCTATTCTTTTGTTTACTTTGTGCTCTTGACAGCCCCTGAACACAGTCAGGTTCTCTGCTTTGCCTGTACAGTCTGTCAGTCAGTTTTGTGACATTTGTTTGAGCCTTTCACATAGCAGCGCAGAAGATGGAACTGGTTTTTATAAGGAAAATATGTCCAGGAAAACACAAAGGGTGCCGATGGATTCAGCGGTAGGGAGTGTCACTGGGTGATGCTTTACATTCATTCATTTCAGGAGAGAGAAAAAAAAAAAAAAAAAAAAGATTTAAACATTTAAACAGACTGACTCTTTTTACAGCCGAGAATGCTTTCTTTGCAGCCTGAGAGCATAAAGCACCACACAAGAGCACTGATGAAATTTTAAAAGGAAAGACGTGAAAGAGCAAGAATCTCAGGGAAGCTCCCTGCAGGTTTGGGAGCGTGGGGCAGTGCCAGCCCACAGTGCTTTAATCCTGTCCTTAGTGCACAGCCACGGACCCTGAGGCAGTCTCCTCTGTCCACAGCAAATGTGGTTCACCCCATGTGTGAAAAATATCTTTCTTAGGGTCTGCAGTGGTGCTTACTCTGGGTCTTGCATAGGCACCATCAGGTCTGTTCTCTCTGAGCCTGTTTCATCCACGGCTTCAGAACATGGGTTCTTGCTTTCTATAACAACCACATAGATTCATCAACTATATCCATTACCGGTGTCCATTTTCTACAGCTCACACTACTTACATAGAAAAACAGGCTCTACTACTTCTCTCATCCTAATTTCACTCTTTCATGAGGAGTATGGTCAATTTAAGCAAAGCATGCCAGACTCGGCAGAGGACAGGTGCACAACCAACAAGGCTGATCAGAGTTGATCTGCTAGGCCACATACCATAGCAGGACACCCATCAAGTCATTATTGCCTCCCCCTCACAGATCTGGACAGAGGAAACAGAAATCAGGCAGGATTGAGAAGTTTTTGGGATCAGCAAGAGCAGCTGGCTGCAGTGCTTTAAACCCTTGATGCTTGCCAGACCTGCTGTACTTCCTTCAGGCCAGAAGTATACTGCAGAGGTCTGTAAGACATAACCTTCTCTGAGAAATGGGAGAAGATTAGGAAGATCAGAGAGCTCTCTGTGTGGACTTTCTGTATGTGTATCTGTATGCAACTTCTGACACTTAGAAGGAATGGCAAATATTTGGAACTGTTTGGTAACAGCCAAATCTGCACTGTATGAAAGGCCTCCATGCCCCGGCCCCATGTTGTGCCTAAGTGGTCTTCTCCAACTGTCCGTTTGTCCTGGGTCCTGACTTACTTGGGACATGCGGATTCTGCTCCAAAGATTTGCTGATGTTTGAGTGAGACTTAGTGGAAGAAACAGCTGCCTTTATGGCTCTCATAGGGTTGTCTGGAGAAGAGCTGCAGTCTTGCTGAGGCTCCCAGAAGTGTGGCTACAGGGCTCCCAAAGGTGCTCTGACAGGAAGATGCATCTTGAGCACAGTGCTCCATTGTAGGTGACCCCATGGGTCGGCCCTCCTGTCCCTGCTCTGTTCCTCCTAAAATCTCTCTGATGCTCAGAGGCTGTTGAAGGGACATGACCACATCATCTCCTGTGCCTTTGAACCTGGGAAACTGGAGGTGATTTGGTGGTGGCTGAACTACAGCCTTAACTCGTTTTCTTTATTTTTTCTTTGCATCAACACTGCTCTGACTCAAATTCTTTCAAACTCCACACTGTTGGGTAAGAACTGCTGCCAGACCCTCTGCTTTGAAGCAGAAGAGAAACACCTCCATAATTTCCCTAGCCAGTGCCAGAATATGGAGGAAGTCTGCCACGGTGCATGCCCCGATCCTGCTTTGGGGAATCACTTAGAGCTGTTCCTGTTTTGACAGAGCTCATTTACCTCTCCCTAACTGCTGTAATCTCTTAAGAGTGCAATTCAGGTTGCTAATACGAGTACCTTCATAAAGAATTTCCTTATGCAAATTCCCAGTCTGAACTTTGCTACAACAAAGTCTGTTGCTGGAATACATTTCTCTGCACCCACAATCATCTTTTTTATCCTCTGTGCACCATACCTTCCGCTACCTGCTCTGAGCTGCTTTCTGTAAGCTGGAAGTTGTGAGCGTGAGTCTAATTTCACCCTTCAGTAAGCAGGGAATTCAGAAAATTTAGAAGTGCTGGGATCAACACCAGGCACTCGCATTCGTGATAGCTCTCAGAGTTAAAACTGCGAGCATAGCCACGTAGCTGCTACGCTGTCGTTTTCTCTGAACCTGAAACCTCTCCGAGGTCGGCTGTGTGCAGGCAGCAGAAGGCTCTGTCTGGCATGCCGGAGGGAGGCTGGGCGTAGCTCGTCGGAGGACGCGCACATGTGTGCACACATTCGCTGGGCTGTTTCCTGGAGCCCTGGCCTTGTTCTGTCTTGTCTCTGGGCTCTTTAAAGCAAGGGTCATTTAGGACTGTTCACTCTGGCATTTGTTCATCCCACATCCTTCTGTGTATTAGACAATGTCTACCTTACAATGTCTGATCCTGATCCAGCGGAAAATATTCCATTAACGTGACCTGAAGAGAGGAACGTATTTTTCCCAGCCTCAGTCTGTGAAGTTAGTTGCAGCACGCTGCTTTGTACATTACGACCGCATCAAACTTCCTTTCATCAACACCAGCTGCAGCGTTTTATGCCGAAACCTGGGACACAGAGTAAAAAACTTACAGATCCAAGTCAGAGCAGGAGCTGACCTCAAGCCACCCATGGGGCCTCAGGTCGAGTCTGCATATCTCCTGTCACACTAAGCTGTCAAATGCAATTACCTTGAGAAAGCCTTTCTTGTATCTTTACATCTCATTAATTGGTGGGTCCTGCTCTCTGTCATGGTGGCACCTCATGAAGAGTCAAAAGTGGGAGCGGGAAATGACATGATGAGTCAAACCACAGAAATTCAATGTCATCTGTCCAAAGAAAGACTAGATTGGTTTAATGGAGGTTGGAAAGGGCATGGCATACATGGAGTTATGCTCTTTACTCTCTGCTGATCTTGATCATGGGAAATGACAGCAAACAGAAAAATAGATGTGAATTTACAAAGTGACGTAAGGGCAGAAAGCAGCCACACAAAGACACCAGTGGGGAAAAGGACTATTTAAGATGGCTTTTGGCTATAGAATAGAGCAAGGCGAAATTAAGTATCAAGTAAATATCACCAAGATCTGCTTGAGTGTGGAACAGCCTCCAGAAAGAAACTGGGAGAGCCTTTGCTTGAGCCACTCAAAACTAGCCTGAACAAGGTGTGGGGAGAGATACGCTACAGAGAACAACCCTGCAACTGCCATAGGGCTGCAATGATCTAATAGTTCTTTCCCACCTTTAATCTCTGTGATCCTGCAGTTAATCATCACACATTCATTGTGAAATCTTTGCTGAGATCATTTGTTAAGCTTCTAACCAGTGAAATTTTATATTCTCTAGAAGAGGACAAACCTCTTTGGAGTTTTAATCCAAACTTACACCAGCCAGTGGCCTTGGAGCCGTGATTTTGCTGGCAGAAATTTGGACCCAGGTCCAAACTTTGTATCTCTACAATGGGAAGATTTGAAATGCAGCTTCTTTGTTTCTGCCTTGTGCCTCTGTAGAAGCTGCTGCCAAGAGATACAGATAGTGAATCAGAGACAGGTTCTTTTCCAGAGCAGTGACAGAGACTAGCAATTACAAATAGCTTTGGACCTCTTGAATGTAAGGGTGTAAATGGAGGCTATTTTTCCCTTGCATCCTCCCCCACCATTTCTCTACAAGCGCAGAGGTTGGGACTTGGGTGTGATGAAGACAGATGTGGCCAGACATTTTCATGATGAAGTCGGCTCCCTGGAGCTACAGAAAGTGCTTCCTCCAGTCTGTGAGCTGCAAAGCATCGAGGTGGCAGGGGCAGTTGCAGTCCATAAATTTGTTTTTGTCACGCTGAAAGATGATTATAGATCTGTTAGCAACCCCCTGGCCTATGTAGGTTTGCACAGCAATTACTTTTCCATCACCCTGCTGTTTGTAAACTTTAAGAATATCCCAGAAATTATATTGACCTTTGGGCTGATGGGTTCCAAGCAATGAACTGTCAGATGAGCTGTGGCCTGCCGCCTTTCCTCAGTTGTGGAGCAGGTGCAAGGGAAAGCAAATAGCACTGGTGTTCTCCTCCCGATCGAATGTTCATTTCTGGATGTTGTCTGTAAATTGAAGAATGTGATGACAGCAAAAGGGCCACTAACAGTGGACTGGCAGGACACAGAGAGGGGAGAGAAATGTGCTGTAATTGGGTCATGAATTGAAATGTATTTCTCTGAAATTTGCTGCCTCCCTTCTCTGACTCCAGTCATGGATAAGTAGCTTCTCATTAGTTTCCATTTCCCTCCTTTATTTCACCACCAGTTTCACATCACTTTTCCTTTGATTTTCTTTAATCTTGGCTTCTCCCTGATGGTCCTTTTCCATACGTATGGACTAGTCTTATGCAGCTGCAGAAGCAGAGGCCTGCCCTGTTTTTATCTTAACCACAACTTTCCAAACATTTTTATTAATAATTCCCTTTTTCATGTCACATTACCAGAGGGTCCTGACAAACAAATTGGGTAAATCAGACTTCCCTCACAAACTTAGTATTCCATGCTCACTATGTGCAGCACAGATAAAAGAAGTCAGGTTTTTGCATAAAAGTTGATACTTTTTTTTTCTGTGCTTCCCGCAATGAATATGACAGGATATGGTTCAAGAATGCACTAATGTCTCGATGATTTTTTGCATCCAGATTATGCACATTAGTAACATGAGCAGTTCCTGGGTATGAATAGATGAGCTTCTCATGGGATTTTTCGCTGTGTCAAGCATGGGAAGCAGGTGAAGCTGGAGGAACTGGAAGGAAGCGGTTTTGCTTACAAAGACTGTAATTCTGAGTTTGGATGTGGGTTTTTTTCACCCAGAAACTTCTTCATGATCTGAAGTTTGCAAGTGGGTTTTCTATATGAGTTCATTTTCTTCCCAATGCTGATTTTGGGGTGCGAAGGGGAGGCTTGGAGGAGCTGAGGCAGTTGGGTTTTGGGGGGCTGTGCAATGTTGGTAATACTGTCCACCCTCCCAAGCCACTGACTCATTGCTGCTGGCTCCAGGAGGAGGAAGAAGCAGTTGGTTATCCACAGACTGCTTCAGGAGAAGGACTGCATATCATTCTGCAGTTTCTGCAGATCAGCAGATAAAAGGCTAGAAAGAAGATCTGCAAAAAAAAGAAGAAAAAACAAAGTCAGAGCTTTGCCTTACCCAGCCTTAATGATGGGTCAGAACACTTACTGGGGAGGCCAGACGACCTGTAAAAAAACCACAATTCAGTTATGCCTGGGAATAGAGTAAACTGAGATCAGCAATAAAGCAGCTTTTATACAAGTTGGGAGGATGCTGTAACATGCCAGGGTATTTTGCTAGTAGTGCCTTTCAGGGCTGTGTTATGGCAAGTTACATTTTGCATGGGCTATGTCCAGAGACAATCTTCCTTTTGCGTTTCTTCTTTTTCCATTAATAAATTTTCTGCTGCACTCAGCCACAGAGCAGAGGCAGTTTATGTGCTTGCCTGGCATTCTTAAGCAGTGGAGTTGGAAGTCAGGCGAAAGAAGTCCTAGGTAGAAAGGGCAGAGTGCATTAACGTAGTAGTGCTGCATCTGCCAAAAGATACACTGGTTAGCGAAAGTTCGGAACTAAAATCCACCCCGATATTTTGTACTAGCTTTCTTAGTGACCCCAGAAGGGATGTCTTTTCACCATCTTTCCAGTTATGCTGTGGATTACTAATCTGTGCCTTTTCTGATTTCTTTCATTATCCTTCCCTTCAGTGGACTTTTGAAAGATCCTGTCCTATATAAAAACACTGTCTCTGGGCAGGAGGCAGGGATAGCCTTGCCCTTGTACATAACTAACTTCCAAACCCACAAATTCAACCTCATGATGGGCGCGTGTTGAAGTGGGTCTCTGTGTCCAGGGCAGTCCTCAGATAATGCCCCAATTCATCAGGAAGCATCATGAGCACCAGGTCTGGACTGCAGTGTTGGGGTAACTCTACTCGCTTCTTGTCCTCCTCTCTCTTCCTCCTCTCCTGTGGTTGGTCCAATTTATGGGTTGACTGTGGCCAGCTGCCAACTGCCCATCCAGCCATGCTCTCCCTTCCCCTCCTCAACAGGTCAGGGGGGGAAATAAGATGAAGAAAAGCTCATAGGTCAAGATAAAGACAGATCACTTACCAATTACCGTTATGGGCAAAGCAGACTCGACTTGGGGAAAATTAATTTATAACCAATTAAAATAGGTGGGATAGTGAGGAAAAAAAAAAGACAAATCAGCACCTTCTCTCCCTCCTTTTTTTCAGGCACAACTTCACTCCCAACTCCTCTAACTCTTGCCCCCGACTGGTTCAGGGGATGGGAAATGGGGGTTGTGGTCAGTTCATAACAGCTCCTCTCTGCCACTCCTTCCTCCTCACACTGTTCCCTTGCTCCAGCATGGGTCCTCTCCATAAACTGCAGTCCTTTGTGAACTTCTCCACCATGGTCCCTCCACAGTCTGCAGGGGGACACCCTGCCCCACCATGGTCCTCCACAGGAGAATCTCTGCTTTGGTGCCTGCAGCACCTTCTTCTCTGCCCTGGATGTCTGCAGGGCTCGCTCTTTCTAACATGCTTTCCCTCAGGCACCACCGTCTTGGCTGCTGGGCTCAGCTGTTGGCTAAGACTGGCTGTGTCTGGCACAGGGGCAGCCCTGGCCTCTCCTCATAGAGGTTGCCCTTGTAGCCCTCCCTGCCAGCACCTTGCCACGGACACACAGTGCAATGGCTTTCACTCAGATGGTCTTCAAGTCCTTTCTGAGGAGCTGAAGTCAAGTTTTCTGTTCTCCATAACCCATCAGTGATGTGCTGGGGGTGTCTGCTGCTGCCTGAGGGACCTGTGGTTGGAGACACCAAGCGTGGCGTGTAAGCATGCGCCAGGGCAGGCACTGCCAAGCCAGGCTTGTGGCAGAGGCAGCCAGAGGTGTGGTAACAGGGTGTCTGGAGGAGGGAGACTGTTGTTTGAGAGGGGTGGTGGTTGGCCACTGGTGACATGAATCTTGGGGCTGCAGTTCCCTCGTGGTGACGGGACTGCTGCACAGGGCACGTGGAATGTGGAGATGTGAGTGCTCAGCGTGTGCTACACCACGGCAAAATCATCGCCTCAGCCTCAGAGTGCTTCAGTCCTGAACCGTTTTTTGCCTTTTAAGGGTCCGTTACAGCCTGAGGACCTTTGTCACTTGTGTGCATGGCCAGGGTCAGAAATCTTCTTCCTTTAGAAGTCACAACTCACCACCAAGTAAGTCTCTGGCAATCGCTCTTGGTCAAGCATTGCCCACGTTGTTGTACCCCAGGGAAGGGTGATGCTCAGCAGGGATTTCTCAGAGATGAGAGGAAGGAGGTGTGGGTGTTGTGTTTTTTTTTTTTTTTCCCCGGGCTGAAAAGATGGCAGCAAGAGAGAAGCTCTTGAACAGGAGAAATATTTCAGGGAAAGGTGGGGAGGAGGCATGTGCGGCTGGAGGAAGGCTGGGGCTGAGGCTTTTTGGATTTCCTGAAGCTGTGGGATGTGGGAAGCACCGTGGGTGACAGACTTGGACGGAGGTGAGGAAACAGCCCAGCGCGCGGTGGGCACTGGCCCAAGAGGAGTGTTGGCCGCCCTTCTGCGGGAAGCCGTCCTCCCCTGTGCTGGCAGTCACGGGCGAGGTGTGCTTCAGCTACCAGCTCCAGCAAAGCTAGCACCGAGCTCCGCCGGCTTGGCAGGGCTGGTCCCATCATTCCCACACAGCAGGGCCCTGGCAGCCTCCCGTCCCCCGTTCGCAGCCCAGGGCAGCCCGGCCCGCAGAGCTGGGGGCTCCCAGCCGCCTGGCGGGGCGTCCCGGGGGGCTGCGCAGCCTGAGGTTAGCATGCACACCCAGGCAATGCTGCTTTCCCAGCTGCAGGAGCCGAAATCACTAACTGTTCGCCAGCATGTCTTCTGTGTTTTATGTAAGAAACCCAAAGCTTTAGCTCTGGTTTTGGTTTTTTGTTTTGTTTTGGTTTTTTTTTTTTTCCCTAATCAAGAATTCATCAAGACAATTGCAGTTGAGCATGGTTTAAAGTAAAATGATAATATGGGCTCCTGTTGAAGTTTTAGTTTTGCAGATGGTTGCGTTTTGTAACAGACACCAGCGTGAACCAAACTCCTAGATCCAAATACCTCCCAGCTTTTAGATCTGAATCATGTACATTCAGAACACTTCTACTTAATCATCAGCAAACCAGAATATTAAATGGCATCAAAGTGTGGCCATGAGCTAGAGATTTTGTCGGTGAGGTTTAACCTTTGCAGTTTCAGAGCCAAAGCTTTGCATAAAGGAGAAATTCTAGGGTAAATGTAAATAACACACAGGTCTGGAGGATTAGCTGTCTCTTGTCCAGAAATGCCACACCTTGTAATTAAAGAAGAGGCTGTTAGTATGTGACACAGGAATGCAGAGGGTGTGGACCATCTCAGATTTACAGGCTATCGAGTTTATGAAAGAGACTAAATGCTGTTTAGTGTTACAAAGGTGGTAAAACCTTTGTTCAGCGTTGCCCCAAAAATCTGGCAAGCCTCTGATGGGAAAACACTTTGCAAGTAAGATCTTGCTAGAAAAAGAATCTGTAGGAAAAATTCAGTAGGGAAACTCCAGTAGCTTCTCAAATGACTCCTTTTCTTCATGCACTGCAACAGGATAATGGTGTATAGGCTGAATGTCAGTTCGTGTTTGCAAGTTGCCTACTGTGAACTGGAAAGTTTGACTGAATATTTTAATATAACTTTACAAGTAGCCATTAAAATAAAAGTTCGTGAGTGAACTTTAGTGCCAAAATAAGTGCAACAAAAGCATTTCGGTATGTGAAAAACAGTATCTGCGATGAAGATCTGAATGTAAGCACAGGGCTGAAGA